ATATATATATATAAAGGCTTTATAAACCCTTCCCACACTCTTGCAATGTTCTAAACTCTTAAACCTGTGTAATTTTAGCAACATACGTATATGTACTGCACAATAGCTAGGTACTGCAAACAATACCACACAATGATCTCTATCGAGTCCAGATCCGGATTAAAAAAAAGTACCGGTGAGCGCCGGAGAAAACACCAGACCTCCAAGCGACACCTCCCCACCAGAGAGGCTCCCTGGGCAGTCAGGCAGCACTCAGATTGACCAATGAGGCTGGAAGTCCGGTTCTGGTCCAATTTCTGGTCTGTTCCGTACGGCTCTCTGCATCCACTGAGCGCCGAAGTCACTATGAATAAGAACTGAACTTTTCAGATCGGATCAAAACTTTCCCGCCATTTCATCAAAAAGCAACGACTGGAAGTACTGTTGGTTTCTGGGTAACGAAGTCCTTTTGAGTGGGGAGACGGTATAGGCTTATTGAGAGAAAACTACAAAATGATGGCGCCTGTCTGAAGTATTATTTTTTCATTAACCTTTTGCTGTATCCCATACTGTCTCAATCATTTGAGTAATATTAAAGTTGACAATTGTGTGCCATGTACAGTCTTTTTTCTCTCTCTTGTACAGTCTTACTTTGAAAAACCGCAAAACAGCGAGTCTGCAAAAGTTGATCTGCAATGTAGCAAGGGACTGCTGTAAAAGAAATTTGGATTTACTGGTACGATACAAGCAGCTGCTTGCCTGTTAGAGCACAGTGTGATCATCATTTGAAACTGGAGATCTACCGACCAATTCTGAAACTTGTGAAGCTAGGTGTGAGCAGGCTCTTCTTCACCTTTGGTAGGCTAAGGGAAACTTGGGCCTGGCATTTTCTGTCCCAGAAAGTGTTTACTAAACTCAGGGGAGACGTTCAAGCCTTAAAATACAAATTATTCCAGACAAGGATCAAATATAGGAGGTCGGTCAGAGGATGAGACAAGCAATGGTTAAAATGAAAAAAATAAATAAAAGACTAATACGAGAAAATCACTTTCTTCAAGGTATTTATAAGCCACAATCACCCTTTTATTTCTTCCTAAAACATTTAACTTTTTTGCATACAACTCTGCCTACTTTTGTTACTCCTTTATACTTTTTTTTCTTCTGTATGTTTACTCATCCTTCTCTTACATTTGTCTTCCTCCTCCTCAGGTACTGGGCTCCACTTCGAAATCTTGTGGTTTCTCTTCTCAACTCCATGAAGTCCATCGTCAGTTTACTTTTCCTCCTCTTCCTCTTCATTGTGGTGTTTGCCCTGTTGGGGATGCAGCTATTCGGAGGACAGTCAGTATCAGCACACACTTGGAAACAATCTATCTCTTTATTTTTTTTACATTGTATGTCTACTTTATTCTGCACAAGGACTGCTATAGGTTTTTTTTTTTTTTTTTTTCTGCAGATTTAACTTTGAAACGGGAACTCCACCTACTAATTTTGACACATTTGCTGCAGCAATTATGACGGTGTTTCAGGTAAGAAATAAAGAGTCAAACCCTTCTAAGACATGAAATATAAATATCTGTGATGTAATCAATCTGATGTATTTTAAATTTTTCATCATGACCTCATTCAGAGTTCCAAAGTGACATCTAAAAATATCACTTTCCAAATGTTCAAGTTTATTTTTTTATTTTTTTGGGG